CTCGAGGGAAACACGCGACCGTGGGGCGCTGCCGCATGACACCAGTTGCGTATATCCTGTAAACGGTAGATAGACATACCAATGTCTGTCCTTTGAAAACGCAGCTATCCTGCAATCTTCCTTCAAGTTAGCCCTCTTATGCCCATCAAACAAGTTGAGCGCTGCCACATGGCTCAAACCGATAATGATAGCGAATGTTGCTTTTTATAATTATGTAATAAAGTGTTCTTTGCTTTCAAAACCTAGAGTTCAATCATTCGACGACTGTCGTCCCTCCTTCAGTTGAAAGAAGGCTTCAGCTCCAACTTCAATGAAGCCCCACGCTACAATCATCAGCATCGTTGTCCATCATTTCTAATATCCGAAAGAAAAGAGTTCTTCAGGGATTGCTGAGGGTCTTTCTGGTGTCTGGTGGGAAGATTAAAGTACAGCGCGTAATGCGGTATCGCCCGTCGGTTGGTCTGCCTAGCTGGTGCGTCTCTCCCTGTGAATCGTGCCTAACAAGCCTCGACTTGGGTGGCACCATTGGTACTTGTTGTACCTAGTAGAAGAATTTTTAAAGGTTTCTAACTTTTTATGTTTATCTGAAGGTAATCTTATAAAACCCATCCGATGCACTCAGTTCTTCTCAATCCAAATGGCTTTGATGACTTAGCGCCGCTCCGGACCCATGGCCCACAAATTTTGCACTTTCGCCATTTGCTGTTTTATAATATCCAAGCCCATAATAAACATTCAAAGACAACAGCTGACGGTGGGTTATTAATCATCAAAGGCCGAACGGACTGGAGCTGATTTCCATGTTTCATTAATGGCAAAAACGAAAATAGATTTCAAGGCGCCGCGGCGCCATTTTCGTATATGACGAAGTTGCGATACTCTGCGACAGGAATTTCAAGCAGTTAGAGATCTCCTTCAACATTCAATATCATAATTCGAAATGAGTTGCTATGCTCTCCGCTCACTGGCCCTGAGATTTCAATTTTCTATCGATAAAGGCAGATAGAATCTCTTTGTTTGGGACACTCTCTGGCCTGGATTCGCGTATTTTTTCGCTGAAGTTAAAGTACCCGTCACAGAAAAACGACCCCCTTTTATAGGGTATCACAAACTCCCAACGACAGCACCATAAGGAGAGCTGTTGCTCTCACCAATTCATGGGTGGTTCTGTTTCCCTTTTTGTTTTATGCAAAAAATACTCGTAATGCTCGCATGGTACTCGGTCTTTTTTGGGCCGGCTAAATGGAGATTTCCTCTATTTTTTCACCAACATTTTGTTGTGTTTATGTTTATTTGCTGCTCAGGTAATTAAAAGGCAATCAAAAGGCAAATAGATTTTCGAGCTTGGGGGCACCTGTGCCCGATGTCTCTCGTTGTCTCTCTCTCTCTCTCTCTGTCGCTGTTTCGCTCTCTCTTACTCTTCCCATTATTGACTCTTATTTTCTCTCTCTTTTACTTCTGCTCTAACTTCTGCTGTGGTACTTGTCAACCATTTGGGCGCCAAACGAGGAACGATATAAAAGCACGAAAGCTCACTTTTGGGGCGTCGCACTGTGGATACCCTATCTATGCCGAACAGCTCACTCCATCCCATTGCCAGACAAGAAAGCTTTCACAGGCAAATTCTAAAGGAAGGTGATGAGAATCTCATTATCTGAAATGGTAAATAATCGGAATATTGTAATATGCCTCAGCTTATGACGTTACAACTCTGTACTCCTGTTTTCAACAAATGTTTCAGTACAATTTGTATCCAAAAAATTTCGATTTGGATGGATGTCAAAACATCTAAGAAAACAGTTTAGGATCTCAAGCTATTTTATAGGTCTCGAACTTTTCTTCATTAAAGACTTAATCTAAAAAGCTCCATTTCGATTGATGAGAGTATTACCAGTATGTGCTGGATGTGATCTGAAGGAGTAATATATAGAATATGACAAGGGTCACTCCATGGATGGGCAAACCACTTGGGAACATTCGTATACCCTTCCATGGGAGGTATGAGAGCGGTACAAAAATATTCTGCTTACTGTCGGGCTAATAAATGTTTCGCTGTAAATCTAAACAAAACAGAAGCAGATGAAGACCTAAAGAAACAGAAGCTGAAGCAACAGGGTCATAAAAATGCGATTTTTTCGGGGTTCGTTCCGGCTTTGTTTTAATCCAAACAAATTCTGTTGCCAAACGCGAGGCAGCAGCGGCGGCACAGCCAACAGCCGTTAAAAGTGTATACCGAAAACATATGAAAGCGAATTGAGTTGCCCGGCATTCCCGGGCATACCCTGCTCTGCAAATGGAGCCAACATCATTATCAGGCTCTATGCATACCCTCTACAGAAAATAGGTCCATGAAAGTCAAAGTCGTGTATAAGCCCTGCATATAGAAAGATTTCACCATGGAATTGTCGACTGGATCGGATGTCTACTTAAGAGCTAGAGCCTTGAATGAATCCCACAGAAACGCTTCCCAACGAACATTGAAGTTCGAATAAGAGCCCTGCATGTATCCGCAGCAAACGCAGCTTTTTGCTGTGTATCTTTTACTCGTATCAAGATGACGGCAACAGAATTTTCATGAACAATTCTCCCCTTGTTTTCGAGAATTTTCCACAAGCCAAAGAAATCACTTCAATCCTAAAGGTGCTCTTGCCTTGCCACTCGAAGTAGTTTTCCGGAGCGGCAGCAGCTGTGGATCAAGGACCTCTCCTCTGACAGTCAATTTAACGGTTCATTTGCACAGGAAGTTTTTCTCTCTATTTCGCTTATTGGTTCCCTCTACTTCACCTTTATAGTGTTCCCCCCTATCCATTCTCTTCACTGATTTGAATGGAACGGAGAGCGGAAATTGCAGCACCGGAATTCAAAAATGAAATGCAGCAAAACGTTATCCCCAGGACTCATAGGATGCCACAACAAAAAAAAGGGGCGCTGTAAAATTAAGAACTGCATTAAAATCAGTGCACGGAATCGAAATAAATCGCAATGCCTAATCGTATGCGCTCACTAAAATGGAAAGTACTTACAAAAATGAGAGAGAAAGAGAGAGAAAGAATTCGAGTACAGAAGGGAGTGAGGTAAGTAGAGCGGGAGTGTCATGCTGGGTTTGTGCCGCAGTTGCTGCAGCCGCCTTTCACGGCGATGATGCTGAGGACGACACAGAATGGCGAAAGATTCTGATTATTAAAATGCACGCAAGCGTTTCGCTCCACTCAAAACAGCAGCAAAAACACTAGCAGGAACGAAATGACAAGCCGAAACTACAAATACCCTAGAAAATGCATGAAGAAAAACTCAATTTATTATGAAAATAGTAGGTTATGAATGCTCTCAAAATTAAATTTTGGTTTTCACAAAAATTATTTAAACATAAATCAAACTTTTTGAGTTGTATTTTCCGTACCATTTTTCCATGTATTTCCCAGATGGAATTTTCTGAATGCCATGATATGATATCTTTAATAGACTTTTTGGCACAGAAGCTACAAAGATATATATATATATGTAAACATAGTTTGGGTATATAGATATGTAGTCTATCTTACGTGAGCTGCCTTTTACCTCCGTAGTCCCGGCTATTTTTAGTATGACCAGCTCAAAATTGGCACCTGCACTTCCATTCTTAGAACTTTAACGATAAACGAAAAGTTCATCGTTGGGAGAGAGAATTAGCACATGAAACATTAGATCAACTTAGATCAAGCCCATGCCTTGCTACTGCGAAAAACTGGTTAAACGAATTCCTTCGCTGCAGAACGAATCTCGTGAGTGCCGTCCAAAAAGGTATCTTGTACCGGAAAAAATGGATACTGTGCGGAATTGGCTATTGCAATATTGGCATATGACATACCATGACGTACCATAAGGGTAAGCCCCCAAAACACTCGTTTCAGACGAGGGGAAAAAGTGCTTTGATGAGTGGTTTCAGCGGATCCAAAGGTGTTGCTCCTTCACTGTTAGGCTACGGACTTAAAAGGCAGCATACCCCTCTCTAGGGTTATTCAACGCTTTAGTTGCTTTAGATTTCCATTCAACTAAACGGACGGCGAAGCAGGTGGAGCGAGGAGCGGGTATGAGATGTCGCCAGATGCGCTGCCTTTTGTTTCATCTCCCTCTCGCACCCTGGAAATGCCTGGGTATCTGGGGAGAACATTCACTATAAGTGAATTTCACAACGGAATGACGGTAATCCATCGCCAAATGTCAAATGCCACCTGCCACCGACTCAATTAGTCGGCAGCTTGTCCGACTTTGAGGTTAATTTCGTTCAACTTTGTTTTTCCTTTAAAATATCTTATGCGAGTATCTTTCAGTGCGGAACCATTTTGCTGCGCTTTGAATCAGCTTGAAGATAGTCTAGACAATGTCCGTTGAAAATAAAGGAAGAAATCTGTTATTGCAACTAGAAGAAGCAACAGATAGATGAAGATTAGTTCTCGAGCTGTCTTTTAATAAAAGGTTTCTGAAAAGGTGTACATAATCATGAATGGATTGAAACTAATGAAAGTTCGCGTATTTATGATCATATCAGAAGATCCCTTGTTCTAATCTTTCCTTCTAATCCATCAATTCCATTAAAAAGATGATTGCGCGATAAGGAACTCGCGGTTAATACAGTAATCGGTAACATCGGACAAACAGGTAAGTACAGATGACGTAATTTTCTACAACAAAGGAAAAGTATCTTAACATATAAGTGCGCAAAAAGTACCTGCAAGATGCAAATGTATCTAGATATTTGTTGACGTATTCCCCATATACTCTCCTGCTCCATGCCAACATCTTGTTGCAGTTGCATCTTTTGGTTGCTTTCTCGTGTTGCGTTTTATTTTCTTTCACTCTGTGTTTATTGTTGTATGTTCTTAGTTGTTGTGGGTGTAGAAATCTCTCGTCTTGCGCTGACTTTTATTTTATACACCGAGAAAAATGGGATACAAGATGAGTATGTTAATATAGATTCGTACCATCAAGGATAGATCCATTGGATGATTTCTCTGCTTGATAATGTATATCATATTCTCCCAGTGCACTTGCTTCTCATGCTTCTCATTGCGGCATTCCGCCGGCGTGGCCTTTACTTTTGGGATGGGCATCGCCTGCAGTCGTCTCTCATTTCAATTTCAGTTCCATTCCGCCACTCAGCGACGCCTGATCTCAGCATAGCCTCGGGCCCCTAGGCCCCCAAGTCCCCAGACGTGTCCCCCCGCCGAAGTCGTCGGGCGTGCAAATAAACCCAACGGGGAAAATAATTAAACAAATCTGTAAATAATATTTGCATCAGTGCCCCAGATAAGCCGGGTATAAGTCGGTGATAGATAGTAGAGTAAAGCCATGGTTCAGGGTCGGGTTCTATGTCAGTCTCGGGCACTACAGTAAACGATCACCTAAGCGGACAACCAACTGATTCAACTTGTTGTTTAAAAGTCGCCAAGAAGAGTCTTTGGCTTTGGCTTCGTTGAGTATTGAAGAGTATCTCAGTGAGTGTTAACAGCTATCTAAAATACTGTATCCATTCCTGAAAATATTATGAAATCAGAAAGGTGCTTGTCTTTCTATTGTTCCTACTGTGTTCCCTCTGATTTTGCATCTTTCTCGAACTATTTTCGTTACCTATTGCGGCCTCTCGAAGCTCTCGTAACTCTTGGACTTCTGACTTTCCTTCCTGCTTTCTGATTTCTGCCAAAACAAACACCAAGATCCAGGAGGGGAGCATCCATGATGGTGCTCAGCATTTGATTTATGAGCGTGCCGTGCAGAAGCCCCACATTTGACCGCATTACATTCAGAGAGTGGTTCCAGTGCGCCCGACGGCGCAGGCAGTCGTTCCGTCAGTGACTATACTCGTAATTAAACACTGCAGGCCGATGGTGGCACACTTTTTTCTTCCAATTTGAATACACTTCCAACGGGGGGCGGGGATAGAAAACTGTAATATGCGTAGTATCCTTAGACTAGTTGTGGTGGGAAAAGAATTTGGTTTCCACTTTTTTCCAAAAAAAATGACGAAATATTCATATTTCTGAAGATCTGTAGAATCTATAGGGTATGAGAAAGTGGATATTGGAATCGGACTACTCCATCCTAATGCTGACGACTGCTATATAGGGTATATGGTGCTTCGGTTTCGCGATTTGCAACCGTCTTTTACTTGTTTTTCCTTTCATTAGGCCAGCGCTGAAATGGAAAAGCAAGTGGCAAATGCTTGAGTAGACGCAGCTTCAGACCACAGTGATACTCTGTAAACGACTTAATAAGTATAGGAGCCCCAAGTCCGGATATACCGTAAGGCATTTCCTGTTCACAGGGCAGCCAAATGAACAAAAGGCAATAACGAAATGTGAGGGAATGTGAGTGCAACGGGACGAATCGAAATGAAATGAATCGAACGATGAGTACGAATAGGAGACGCCCCGCCTCGCCATGCCATGCCATGCCACACGTCACGAGATGCGAGGAGAGGAAACGTGACTAGGCCAATGTTAAGGGCACTGACGTCGGTCTCTGGTGTAACTCTTGGGGATGCTGCAACTGTGCCGCCGCTGTTCTTGCCACATTGCCACACATTGACGTGGGCACATATCCCCGTGTGCCTTTGACAGGCAGATTGAAGCGGCCCAAAATACTCGTATGCTCGTATGCTCGTGTGCCGCACATAGGAAATTAAGTGTGGGCCTATATATAGAGTATTGCAGCCACTGTCTGGGTCTGGGTCTGGGTCTGGGTCGGAGAGCTTGGGGATGCAGCGCCGGCGTCAGTCACGTGCTGCGGCAAGCAGCAGATCCGAATCAGCGTTGAAAGTAAGTAGTGGGAATATAATTCAGCGAACGTGCGCGCGCATTGACATCAGCAAAATGGACGGCAGAAGAATCGGGAGCAGGCCCCCAGTAGATGGATGTTTGCCCCAAGACCTGAGACAGATTGATGGCACCCCACTACACTGGGATTGTCTACCAACTGAATGTCCAAACAACAAGCAAAGCCTTAAGGCTTAGTTAGGCCATTCGATAGTTCTTACGATAACACGTATTTGATATGGTAATCCAATGCTCACCTTTAAATATTTTAAACTACGATATAAGGCCTAAAGAAACCCACTGGTTTCAAATACACATACTTCCTGCACAAAGAGCACAAACTGTCTGAAACATAGACAGCTGTTTATGTTGATCATGAATATGTGTATGCTACTCATTGGATTGGAGTACGGCAGAAAGTGCAATACGCTGTTCCAGTGTATAGAGTACCCGAGAGGTAGCATAGTGCAATGTAAGCGAAGGGTATATGCTGTTGGGGTGCTTTCATCCTAGCCGCTGAATGTTGCCTATACTTAAGGGCCTTTGAAATGGAGTTGAACTTGTAGATAAATGTCGAAATCAGAATATCAAATAAGACAAATAAGTCTTCAAGGAGTATTCAGCACTCGAGTGAATTTTTTACTGAAATATTGACTTAAAATTAGATTCTGAAATACCCCTTAAAAGGTTCTTCACCCCAAACTTCAATGGGTAGCCTGTATTTTTTAGCCCCAGATGGTCATTCCTTGTCTAATCGACGATGCCTTATGTGAACTTCAAATATATATAAATATACATATGCACATATAACCACGGAGTTATTCTTCCCTATATCTATATACATTTAAGAGTAATGCGGCAGCGCACCTCAGTATGTCTTGGATCCGCGCATGGCAAGCTTCGATTTGCTCCCATAATATCGATAGATCTTAAAGGGTATTTTTGGATTTTGGCACTCATTTCTATTTCGACGAACACGCACGACAGTTTGTTTGTGCGTGCATGTGCATGGATCTGTGTTAGTAGTAACGGGAATTTATTTTCACTTTTATACCTCGGCCGCCTGCCTACCCCGCCGAACAACAGTAAACAGTAAGCAACAAGGCAAACAAATGGTACAACTTACAACGCAAGCAGTGTAAGGGAGAGGTCATAGTGGTGTCCAAAAAAGACAGTGGACAGTGCGGAAGAGAGCATGGCAGAGTGGTAGAGCGGGAGAGCGGGAGAGAGCGTGCAGCTAAGCTATCGCTTTGGCCGTTAAATGCCTTCAGTTGCACCCGCACACGAGCACGAGCACGAACACGAAACACGCCACAGTACGGCCAAAACGGCAGACAGAGACGGAGATGATTTCGCACTTGTTCGTGCACTGCGTCGGATGGTGGCCAGGCCGCGTTCGGGTGCGGTACCGCCATCGGGTGCCGTGGGAAAGGATAAGTTGCTCAGATGCTCGCAAGATTCTGTCATAACGGCTTCGGCACTCGTGGCGCACGCTACGAAGGCAGAAGAAGCGTCAAGCAGTGTACAAACAGTGCACAAGCAGTGCAGTGAGACAAAGCCGTTATTTGTGGTTATTTAAAACAAAATATTGTGTGTTTGGTAAATGTTTATCAAAGTGCAGCGAAATATTGTCAATTGTTGATTATTTTTGTTGTTGTGTTCGCAAGTGTTTCAAAAATATTAAAATCCACAAAATAAATAAGCAACAAAATAGTTCCAATCTAATAAACCATAAAAACTTGAACAGTTGAATACATATATTAAAAACCATCGAGCAACAAAAGAAGACAACAGCCGAACGCCGAAGGCCGGACAGCCATCCGCCAAAGGCCATAGTTGGGTGAGTGTTCCATTATCCCAATGGCCCAGGGACTGTTTAATCAGTTTAAATGCCAATTACAATTTCAGAGATAAAAACACGCACTTATTTACCAGCGGATTAACAGAAATGTTTGCCCAAACTTGCACGAAAATATTCAAATGTGTTTTCACATTTATGGTTTTTGCCTTTGGTAAATGCCGGCCATTCTTTATGGTCGCCCCCGCCTGTTCTTGTTTGGTACTAATTACGAAAATTATAAGGGTAGCTTTGGTGCAGTTACAATGGAATAATCGTAATAGTTTTTAAGCCATATATCAAAGATGCCACTGCAGAAGCATTGAAAAATGTTCGCTTATTCTTTAAGTGTCCAATAAGTGTTTCAAATTTTTGAAAATTCTTCCATTTAAAGTGACTGTTTATGTTTATGTTTCATTGGAAAAATTAGAGCAGTTTTCAATCCATTGATGTTAGATTAAACTCAATTAAGTTTCGGTGTATATTCCAATTTTGTTAAGCTGCCACATGCAAGAGTCTATTCTCTCTTGAAAAACGTTACAAGTGATCCGTCCTTTGCTGGCAAAATGTCCCTTTTTGTATAGTGTTAGCTGTACCTTTTATCCGATTTAACGCATAATTCCTATTACTGAATACATTTTAATGTTACATCTAATGGACAAATTACTGCAATTGATATAAAAGTTCAAAGATTTAATCCTTTGTATAATAATGCATAATTAGAGACACCCTTGAAGACGCAAAGAAGTGGCAAAATGCTGTCATATTTTTGGGTTTCAACTCTAAATTGTGTATCTCTTAATAATCCATATATTGCACATGGAAAATAGTGGTTAACTAATTGATATTTTTTCAATACACATTGGCACCACATTTCCTTGTGGTTTGTTTTTCTTTTCTCCAAGAAAACACCCAAAAAGCGCTCCGCAAACAGAAAATTTATTGCGCTGTCCATGTCAGAGCTTGTTGTGGGCATTGTGGCATACCAGAAAATGCATCCGTAGATGCCACTCTCGGGTCTCAATATTTATAAACGCAATGCCCAACGTTTTGGACGAACTGAATTTAGTTGGAACTCAAAATGTTATTTGGAAAATACCGTGGTCGGAAGAGGGGTATTCTACTTCGGGGGCTCACGGAAATCCAGAAAAGTTCTTGAAAATGGTTTTGGGATCTTTGGGAACTTTGGGATCAGATCTTTAATTTAGACAAATACCTGAAGTCATTCCAGGGTCTTTACATCTTGCTTTCATTTTCTTGCTCATCCATTTTTCAGTGGCAGTGGCAGTGTTTGTGGCAGTAGCATATCTATATCCTAATCATTTGCGAGCCAAATATTTACTCATGCTACTCTCTGTACAAATATCTAGGGTTCCGTCTGTTCCCATTGTGTGATAAATACTCTCACTCCAGCGACGCCTCCATCACCGTTCCCATTTCCATTTTCCCTTATATTGCCAACCACCCGGCGCCCACACCGCTCAAAAAAAAAATTGCATTCATTTTTGTTCACAAAGTTCCTTCTGCTGCCTTCATCAGCATCGTGTGTATGGCAGGATGCGGAATGCCCAAGACTCAGGACCAAGACCAAGAAAGGAAACGACATTTTGTATTTATATTTCGAGTGTGT